AATTCTACCTCTAGTCAGTCAATGCTAAATATAATATATATATATATATATATATAATAAAAATAATAAACAATTTTTTTAAACAAAATTATTCATAATCATAGAACTCTCTTTGTATCATGCACCATTCGTTGCAATATTGAAACATATAGAAAATCACTGTAATATGAAAATTCACTGTAATCACTGTAATCTGTTTAAATTTCTTGTGATGTTCCAAATGTTTCAAAGGAAATTTGATTTTAAATGTGACGACGTGTAAAATAATCATTTATTCTTTCTTTTTTTTTTTTTTTCTTATACTATTTCAAATAATAAACTTGAAGAGTAAAATTATGCTTTATCACAGACAAGAAATATATTGTTAACTTAATATATACATATATATATACTTTTTAAAAAATATTTTCTTTCTTTTTTCTTTATATTTTTTTTTTGTTGTTGTTTTTTTTTTTTATGAGACTCATGGAAAAAAAGAAACATAACTGATTATGTTTTTCACAATGTATATATATATATATAGTATATTTTAATGATATTATTGTTATATTGAGCATATTGGTTGTGCTAATTTGCATCGAAATTAATCTCTTAAAAATTGTGTGTTGTTATTCTTTTTTTTTTCTTCTTTTGTTTTTTCTTTTCTATTCATAAAGCTAGGATGTGCTTAATATATTTATACAATTAATTTTAAATGATATAATACTACAAAATATTTTCAGGATGGTTATAAGTCAAATTACTTTTGTGTTTTACCTTGCGATTCTGTCTTTTGGATGTCTTTCGTGAAACTTTCGTTTCTCTTGTGTCTTGAACTTGTTTGTTAAGACCTAGTCTGAATCGAACTGGCATCTTTGAGTCTAGATTGCTTTCGTCTGTAAAATAAACAAAATAAATACATTTATAAATATATGTATATTTACTGTAATTGATGGTACAAGTTGGGCACGGGAAGAAAATTTCTTGAGAAATGAATGAAATGTAATTATTACAAGAAAAATTGATAAATAAAGTTTACTTACCTCCAGAATCATGCAGTTCCGGCACAGATCTGACGACAGTAACACGTCTGACATCTTTTTGATTAACTATACATAATTAAAAATATCGTTTTATATATAATGTTTCATAGCATGAATTAGAAGTTTTATTTTTAAAGTTGAATTTATTACCTTTCTCATCATTTTTGATTACATGCCTCTGATTGACTTTTGCATTATTCTTTACAACACTGTAAAAAGATAACATTATTTATAAATATATATATTATTATATTTAAACTATAATTGAAAATATAATCATCATATAAAAAATGAAAGTAACTTACTCATTAACAACTCCTTTAAAAGCTGATTGTACTAGCCTCGCTGATTGTATTGGTGCAGATCTGTTTAATCGTTCGGCACGTCTTCTGCTAAGTTCAGCTCTTAAATCACCTTCTTCATCAACAGCTATATCTTCAAATATAGCATCAACCTCTTCAGGTTGTACTTCAGAAATATCTTTCCTTTTCTTACATTTCTTATCTTTTCCAATGCGTTCTGACAATGGCAGTTCACTTTTCAATTTACCAACTTGGTATATTTCCTTGTCACGTTTTTTCTTCTTTTTAGAAGACTTCTCTTTTTCTGTTTTAGACGAATCAACGATTATACAGGAATTAATGGAACTGCTGATACCAATTGGGGAAGAATTTTCCATAGTATCTTCCAAATCTTCAAATTCATAACTGGTATCCAAACACAAATCTCTATCTCTATCTCTAATATTGTGATCATCTTCTGTTAATTTATTTATTTTCTTAATGTTAATTGTAGAATGTGTCCTTTCTACCACTTCTTGCTTTTTATTTGTATTATTACTTAATTTAATTTTTTTATTATCCAATAATGGATCTATCGGTCTTGTAGATTCAAATTTTCTTCTACGTGCTTCCAAGATTGGATCATTTATCGTATTGTTAATTGATTCTTTAATGTCACTCGAATCAATCTTTTCAAAATTATCTTCTTTTTGTTTAGTTTTATCTCTATAAGAATCAGGAGATCTTCGTTTATGCATTGGTGGTGATTCCCGTATGTATATTGAATTTAAATTGTTTTCAGGACTTATGGAACATGGTCCACGTTTTCTTGATAATTCTTTTGGCGATACTCTAGGTGATTTCCTACGTCTTGGTGAAAGACGAGGAGAATTTCTGGGTGATGACCAAGGTGATCGTCTTGGTGATATTTTATGAGGTGACATTCTACGGGGTGATACTCTTCTAGGAGAATATCCCGGTGAACGAGACCTAGGTGAGATTCTTTTCGTCGACGGAGACAATCGATGTGGTGAAATAGTTCTTGAACGTGATCTCGATCGAGGTGACAATCTCATCGGAGATCGTGAACGAGTATGTCTAGGTGATCTCGAAGTTATTCTAGGAGAACGATTAGTTCTAGGAGGTGATCGTGAACGTGACAATAATCTTGGTGATCTAGATCTCAATAATTTAGGAGATCTAGAATGTGGAGATAATCTAGGTGATCTCATTCTTGGTGATAATTTTCTATAAGGAGATCTTCTAACTGGAGACTTATATTTGCTCGTTTCTCTTAAAGATTTTTTAACTTGTCTCAAAGGTGATCTACGAGGAGACCTTCTAGGAGATCTTTTTCTACTCCTAGACTTTGGTGACAAGGATCTTCGCTTTTGTAAATTTCCACTTGTCATATGTGGAGACACTGATCTTTTTTCACATCTAACATTTGTTGTCAGAGACGTAGCATGATTATTACTTTCTTTTCTATTACCATTGTCTTCGTTCTTTTTTGTTTCATTAATGGCATTTTTATCGAGGCTAGATTTATTATTTTGGTTTTGTGAGTCTTTATCTTTCTTTTCAACAGGTACGTTTATTTCACGTTCCATTTCATCCATCAATCGTTCTAAACTATCTTCTTCCTCCGAATCAGCCATGAACAACACGTCGTCATCATCGTCGTCGTCATTGTTTTTGATCTCTTCTTTTTCTTCTTGTTTCTTTGATTCATCTACAACTTCTAACTTATTTTCTTTATTCTGATTAGCAGCAACAGTTTCATTTTCTACACTACTAGTTTTAATAGATTCTTCTTTCACTGGAACCAAATTGTTCGTATTACTCTTGCGATCATCTTCTTCGGATCCGCTTCTACTATCCTTGTACCGATGAAACTTAGATTCATCTAAACATATAATTAAAATTATATTAATATTTGATACACATTGATCAAAGAATTAACAATAAGTTTAGATTTTAAATATGGATAGAAAATATTACTTACCAGTTTCTTTCACTTCGGTACAAGTTTCAGTCTTTTCTTCTTTCGCAGCAGAAGTTGCTTCGACATTTTGTATCTCTGGATGTTCTTCAACAGGAACAATAGCTATGAGATTTGGATTCCGATGGCTTTGATAATACACGATCTAAGAATGAAATGTAAACAATGGTTGAATAAAACTTCCATCAATATTATCATGAAATGTTTATGCTGTAACAACATGTAAAACTGGTGACAATTTACACTTAAATATGAACTCAACACGTAATAAATTTTACTAGTCAAACAAAAGAAAGATGAAATGTAACATCGAATACAGTATACAGCTCAACATGTTCAATTACAGCATAAAGGGTTTACAGTGTAAACAATTTTGTCATCGATGAATGAACTTACCCCATTTTGTCTTGGTTGTATCCTATTATGGAAGTGGGGTCTTTTTGGTATTCTTTGCAATTTATATGATGGTCGTGCAATTTGTGTTACTTGCGGTACAACATTATGTAGTTGTGTTAAGGGCTGTTTTTTATGTGAATTATCTTTAGTCCCTAATGACTGAAGTGCAGCTAAACGTAAAGCATCCAAGTCTTCATCATCATCGTCGCTGGCATGAAACTTTTGTTGAGAAGCCAAAACCATCTGTAAATATTATTATAAAGTAAATTCAAACTAAAATTTATATCTTCTATATTTCATTTTGCAATTATTTTAATGTAAATTATAAAAAAAAGTAAAAAAAAATAAAAACAAATAAAATCATAATTGATTAATAATACAAATTTCAAAAGTTTGTCTACGAGATCATTTTTTTGTATATTCACGGTAAAGTTATTACATGTACATATATTCATACATATATGACACGTATATATATGTATATATGTATTATAATATATATATTCTATATACATATATACATAGAAATATACGTTAAACAAAGTTTGTATGACTTTTGTTCAAATAAATCTAATATTATATAAAATGTTTATTTATTAGTTAATATTAGATCGATAAAAGAAATACCTTTGGACGATAATCCATTTTATGTTGAGCACAGACGTGAAAATGTAGTCCTGTACACAGTGATCACTACACCGTTTACCGTTTATACCAATATAAACGGTATTAATATTACGGAAATGTATCTTTTTCTGTATACTATTTTTTATCACGCCACAACTACATAACTGGATTAAAATATGTAATATTATATTTCAAACACAAGCGTAAAACACTAGCACAATATTCCACACACCGTTACCCCACACTACACATAAATAAAAATGGTATGAGTAATCATGAAACAATGAGCATGAATCATATATAAACGTAGAATGCATATTACATTTTATAGAATGGTCCTAGCGTTCTGATAGGTACGCAATACTAGCAATATTGCTTTTGATTGGTCGATTATTCAATATGGCGTCTCACATATTTATTAGAACTTTCTAGATTTTCCTAGTATAATTATTAAGTTTAATAAAATACTTTGAATTGTTAACAAATTATTTTATTAAACTAATGTATTAAATATTTATATATAATCATTATATATAATAATTATATATATAGTATATATTGGAACCAATGAAATTAAATCATTCATATAGGAGTATCCAATGAGAACACAGAAATTACCGGGAAATTTAAATCCATCGATAAAATATTTTTGTTAATATCTACATTAATATTTTATTCTAATTAAATTTTTTCTAAAGCCGTAAGATAAATGTATGTAGAATTTAAATAATGTAGATATATTTATTAAAATATGATTATTTTACAAACAATAAATATCATAATATAATTATATTATTTTTAATTAAATAGAAATAATTATATATAAAATATTTCTTTTCTATGATGATTGTATTACAAAGAATTTTAGCAATGTAAAAAATACTTGCATTAAAAATGTGTACTTTGTACTCATTGTTAGATATAATTATAATATATATAAAGTTTAAATAAATTTGTATAAACAAAACTGATAATACTTACAAAATAATACCATTTAAAAAGTACTTTTCATAATAAATATCTTATATACATTTTAAAACATATATACTTTATATAAAATTTTTAAATTGTATCTGAACACGAGTCATAGAATGATTTAATAAAAATAACTTTAGTTAATAATTTTTCTTTTGTATAACAGTAAATAATACTTTAGGGCACTTATGTGTGAACGTTATTTGTAAATATAAAAATATATATGTATATATAAGTAAAGATATGTTAAATCTTTTTGTTATAAAGACTTCATAGTATGAAGAATTATAGGTGGCAGTAAAAGAAAAACAGCTCCAATGAGGTACGTTGTAGTACTTCCAAAATACCAAAATCCTAAGTTGTTATAGATATTAATAAAAAGTACATGTAATATATAAAAAAAGAAAAAGAAACAATAAACAAAACTATTAGTTACCCGCAGAAGCTATAAGTGGTCCACCTGCACGTGCTAAAGCACCTAATGAACGAAATATTCCAGTTATTGTACCTTTTTGATGTTCTGGTCCTATTTTTGTCACTAATGTCATCATACAAGTAACAACCATAGCTGTTGCTAAAATATTACAAGTTAACATGCATTATGTAATATTTTAAAAACTATGAATTGTATTATACGAATAATATTTAAACTTACAAACAGCAAATAAAAATATTCCAAAATATAACATGATTGTATTCTTTGCTAAGCCAATAAATATAAATGCTGGAATTATTAACCATAAACCCTATAAAGATATATCATAGATAAATATGCAAACATTTATAAAAATGCAGTTTTATTTGAATGTATATTTATTATTAATTTTAATTACCAACTCAGCAACAGTTTTAGTTTTATCTGAAGGAACTTTTCTGACCCAACTTCCTTGCAAAATAGCCATAGTCAATCCAATACTGAGAAACATACATCCTTGTTGCATACTCGTAAATTTAAATACGTGATGAGTAAGGAACGTTAAAGTAAATTCTAATCCACTGTAGATAAACAAGTAGATAAAATATGTACGACCTAATACCTTCAAATCGTGTCGCTCTAAAATAATATGTAATCAATTAAATATTTGTCACTGTGTTCTTGACAATAAACAAGAGTAAACAATCATTTATTTTACCTTTATCATTTAATCCAGATACACTAGTAAATCGGAAAAGATCTATTGGATTAATATAAACTACTGATTGGATTAATCCACTTGAGACAGTTTTAGCTCGAGATTTGACAGGTAAACTTTCTTTCAAGTTATATACAACATATAACAAGTTACTTGCAGCAAGAAAAGAAGCAAATAAGGCAGGTACCACGTACCACGTTTCATTTCTATTACCACTGGAAATCCATGCAAAAAATGCTCCTATCATAGGTCCAACGACAAACCCAATAGAAAATGCTATTCCCACAAGAGCCTAATAACATAATAATTAAAAAAATATAGATTATATATTCTTACAATTTAGTTAACGCATTATATGCTTAACTTGCCATAGCTTTCCCTCTTTTATCGGGTGATGTAACATCAGAAATAATAGCCATGGATAAACTAATATTTCCTTTGCTAATACCTCCAACAAATCTGGCCAATACAAATATACCAAAATTTCTTGATATTGCCCATAATAAGTACGACAGTGTAATACCTGTTAAACACATTAACATTAATGGTTTCCGTCCATAAGTATCAGATAATGCTCCTGTTATTGGTGAACTTATAAATTGTAAAAATGAATACATAGAGCCTAGAAAACCTAAAGAGAAATAAAATATTATGTTATTATTTGTATATTCTGTTAATATCAATTAATTGTATTTTTCATAAATATATTTATATACCTCCATAAAGTACAGTATCAACTTTGTCAGGAGCATTTAAAAATATACGTAAGCTTTCTACATGATGTGAAATCATAGAATACAGTCCTTTATTACTTATTACTTTGTAATGATCTAATAGAGCTGGTAATAAAGGTAATATCATAGTAAATGCTAATAGATCTAATAGTAAAGAAAAAAATACTACTTTTACAGTATTGTCTTTAACTTTATCCATGATGAATTTTGATTGTTTTTTAAGTTAAATATGAGACTCAATTTTTTATTCAGATCTTTAAAAAAATGTTCTATTCTTTATGTTATGTTATACATAACATATTAATTTACCTAAAAATTATAAAATTATAAATTAATATACATTATATTTGATAGAATATCAAATCAATACTATACCATATGTTAATAAAAACAAAATCTTACATAAACTTATTCTAATTAATAATAAAATAATATTAACAATACTTGTAAAATATGTATACGGATAATAAAACTACTCTCTAGAGTTAACATTGTAAGAGAAATCGTGTTACATTTATTTCATTTTAAAAGTGAAAGTTTTTAACCTATTTTATTCTGCGGGCTTTCATCTGTAGCATGTGACTTGATTATTGATAAAGTAGAGTCGATAAAAGCGTACCGTCGATAAAATAGAAAAAGAAATGTACTGTCGGTAATTGAGATGCTTACCAACAGAGCCAGTACATTTTTCTGATTGACAAAACAGATTGCTGTTACATTTACATTATACAAATATTTAAGTGGGTCATCTCATGTGATGGGTTCAAAAAATCGATTTTTTTTTCTTCATAAATTGCTTCCTTAATATAAGTAGTAAAGTGATTTTTAAAAATTCGAAGTTGTTTTAAAGATACAGCAGTTAGAAGAAGCAGCTGTCGGAGCGCTAAGTTGGCAGTCGGTGTTATACATATACTATATACTATCTTAATTATATAAATTACGTGTCACGTTCTTTGTCCACTAATAACTTTAAAACTACCTAACCGATCTTAATGAAATTTTTTTTATTTTATGTAATTTTTTCCAACTTAGAATGTAGGATAGTTTTTATCGCGATTTATTATAATCTCAATATTATTTTTTTGCGAATTATTTGTATATTAACAAAGAGTCATGATTATCTCTGTTAGTTCGATAAGATTCTAACAGATAGCATTATAAGGTAATTCGTTGACTGGATTGATCCAATAGATGGCGCCATGTTAAAAGTACAAACGTTTCATGTAACCTACAATTTATTAGTATAACCACGTGTATTTGGTAATAATAATTAGACTTCATTGAACAGTTTAAAATTATATTAAATGAACGTATCATCTGATTCTAAAGAAGTTTTCACGTCAAAAAAGCCACAGTAACACGTGACCGGGGCACCCCTAGTATACTTATATACGTTTATACAAGTTTAGATAAGTTTCTGCAGGTATAAAAAGGAATTTTTATAGACACTAAATATATTAACGAAATTATTTTAGTCTTGGTTTAGCTTCGAAAATCGCAACAACCCAAATAAATTATTTATTTTCATCATGAATGTTCGGAAAGGAAGTATGACTGGAAATGCTCATCCTGGTCGTAGTAAAAAAAGAAAGTTTAGTGCAAACCGTTTTACCGCCCAAAACGAAACGGACTTTACATCAGCTTCAGCGAAAAAACTTAAAAATAGCATGATAGGTTCCCATCGCTTCAAGTTTCGCGTACTGCATTTTGGAGTTTGTTTCTGTATTCGCTGCAATTTCTTAAACTGTAATATGCAAAACTTGTAAAAGTGATGTGTCTTTTTCGCAATCAAGTTTCCAAGGCTTAGGTTTTAAAATTATTTTATCGTGTAAGTGTGAAAAACAGACAGTTATAAACTCGGCCCCATTGATCCAGAATGCATTTGAAGTTAATCGTCGGTTTGTGTTTGTGATGCGATTATTAGGAGTTGGTCACGAAGGAGTGAATCTTTTCTGCAGCTTCATGGACATATGTTCGGGTATTGGAAATTCAACCTATACTGCACTACTAAAAAACATTCATATTGCCGCATCTTCAGTCTTTGAAACTTTATTATCATTCGCTGTCACACAAGAAAAAACTATGAATGAAGAAGCAGGAAAACCACAGGATGAATTGATTGTGTCAGATGATGGTACGTGGAAGAAAAAAGGCTTTTTATCTCTATTTGGAGCGTCTATGTTGATTGGAAAATACACCGGGAAAATTTTCAATGCCATGGTAATGAGTAGTTTTTGTGGTGCATGTAATAAGTGGGGGAAAAAAAATACGGATCCTATAGAGTACGAAATATGGTATGAAAGTCATGTAGATGAATGCACCATAAACCATTCAGGAAGTTCCAGTAAAATGGAAATAAGTGCCATCACGCAAATGTTTTCGAGGTCCATGGAAAAATATGGTGTAAAGTATCTTACGTACATCGGCAATGGTGACAGTAAAACTTTTAAGGGGATCCTAGATGCTAAGCCGTATGGAGATACTCAAGTAACAAAAAAAGAATGTGTGGGCCACGTAGAAAAGAGAATGGGAACACGATTCCGGGTAAAGTAATGTCGATTATGGGATGCCCCGTTGGTATGGATTGCCCCCGATTATGGGCCGCAAAGCCCATATTTATGTTGAGAAACGTGATGATGCGCGAATCTCGCGTTCTGAGCGGCGCCAAAGTGATGTAAAACAATCCAGGATTGACACAAGGGCTAAACAATCTGCCTTAAAAGAGTTTCAAGAAGAAGAGGAGGGAGTACTCTATGGATCAGGCATCACCGATTGAGGATAAGTTGAGATTTTCATAATTTTAACCGGACTTAAAATATAAAACTATAAAACAGATTAAAACGCCGTTTTTGTTTTGTTTTAGATAAGCCAATCAGCCGGAATCGTGAAGGAAGTGCGAGCCTATTTTTTTCGAGGCGGAGGTGTCGGAGCGCTGTAACTCACGTTTTATTTAATATTTTTCACTAAAAGTTTATATTCATACTACTGAGATATATGTTAATAAATGATTATAAATTCAAAGTTCTGCATTTTTACTGGTCGTGAAAAAAAAATCGTAAAAAATGCCCGAAAAACAGGCCGTCACATGGGATGACTCTCCCTTAAATGCTTTGTTTAAATACACAAATGTTATTCGAATTTTCAAATGAATTACTTTTTATCATCATTAAATATATGTATATATGTACTGTAAAAATATACAATTCATTATAAATTTATAAACAGCATAAATATGAAAATAATAACATATAATAATTGAAGTTATAAGTTATAGAAAAACTAGAAGATCATTTAAGTATGTGCATCGAGTTATGCTCGATCATTATATTGTTTTTATTTGTCAGTGAAGCGAAAAATAGCTTTAGCAGGCGCGCCCAGAAACATTACGTACATTCAACTTCCGGTTGTGGAGAGAACATAGTGCTCGCACATTGAGCATTTACGCTTGCGTAGCAGACCCATTTCCTTCACGAACAAAGATCTTTTCAAACTTATCCTAAACTGTAACTTTGTATTTATCTAACAACTGTTTTCACAACTATTACATTTAATAAAAATTAACAAATAAAACATGTGGACCCTTAACATTATTCAAATATTATACAATGATTCCATTAAAACTGTAATCATTTTATTACATTCCTATAAATCTAATATTCTTCCTCTTATACAATTTTATTTTCATTCTTGATTATTGATTATGTTTATCTACTATTATAGCATGTAAGAAAATTAATTAATTTCATGGAAAATTATATATGCTATACTATATAATTTATAGATGAAAAAAAAAAAAAAGAAACAAAAGTCACGAAATTGTAATCAATTATTTTCTAGAATATATCGAAATAAAAGCAAGACAAAAGATCGTTAGAAAGGCCGACAAAAAATTGTATTATATAGGAAATAGTTTAGATCTATAGGTACCGAGCAGGTGGTAGGAGAACGAGCGCAGTTCCTACCCGTGGTTCAAATTTTAAACAGAAGATCGGCGGCGCTTGCCATCTGGGCCTCCAAGGCGTGTAAAACGCATACGGTGTTGTATTGGCGGATACAAAATAATACTCTTATAAGAATTCCAATACATTTAGAGATATTCTTTGAAATATTTCAAAATTAAATAATACGAGATAAGTATTGTTTTTCTGCATGTAATAAATGCAATTGTATATGTTAATTCAAACGCTAATTATATGAACATCTGATTTGATTGAAACCTTATTAATAACAATATTTGATTTTTACTAATGAAATCATTTGATTTACATTCTAATCAAAAGAAATATAATTACACGTTATAATTGAATTTTTCATTCATATGAATACATAAAATATCATTAACACAAGCTTTCTAAATAATTCAATAATATATAAATATTAACAAATGATACGAAGTAATTTTAAATATTAACGAATATATAAAAATAAGTATAAAATTAAATGAAAAATAATCGAGATACAGAACCCATGTTCTTTCTTAAAAACACATTTCTAAGAAAGTTAGAAATATTCTTTTTCTAACAATGGACCAGTAAATTCTTGTGGAAAAGGAAAGGTTTCTCTTTTCTACAAAGCAGTTTCTAAGGGCAAAAAAGAAAAATATGTATGCATATATTGGATTGGAAAGAAAGTATCCGTGGAAATTTATTTTTATTTCAAATTTAAATTTACAAAGAATGAATAAACCGATTTAGGTCAAATATGCGCCATTTTGTTCGATAACTTGTTGCCATTTTGAAGGTAATTTCATTATGCCTCTCTCATAGAAGCCCTCATCCCTATTGGCAAAAAAGTGAGACAACCAAATTTCACAAGCCTCTTTTGAGGACAGCTTAGTACTGCCAAGAGCATTTTGCATGGACCGGAAAAGATGATAATCACTTGGTGCCAGGTCTGGACTATACGGCTGGTACGATAGAACCTCCCATCCAAGAGCCCGGAGTCTCTGCCGGGTCGTCAAAGATGTGTGCGGTCTAGCGTTGTCCTGATAGAACACAACACCCTTTTTCACCAATTCTGGCCGTTTCTGGTCAAGCGTTTGCTTCAATCTGGTTAGTTGTTGACATTATATGTCCGAATTGAGTGTTTGGCCATAGGGCAGCAGCTTATAGTAGATGCTTCCCTTCCAATCCCACCAAACACACAGTAAAACCTTCTTGGCCGTCAATCCGGGCTTGGCCGCCGTTTGGGATGATTCGCCGGCCTTTGACCACGATCTTTTACGCTTTACATTGTCGTATGTGATCCACTTTTCATTACCAATCACTATCCGTTTCAGAAATGGGTCGATTTTATTGCGATTCAGCAGTGTATCGCATGTATTGATTCGATCAAAAAGGTTCTTTTGCGTTAAGTCGTGTGGCACCCAAACATCCAGCTTTTTTTTTTGTATCCAGCCTTACTCAAATGGTTCAAAACAGTTGTATGAGTGGTATTTAGTTCCTGGGCTAACGATCGAGTGCTCACATGACGGTCTACCTCAATTAATTCCATGATTTTATCAGTATTTTCGGCGATTGGCCGACCAGAGCGTCGTGCATCTTTGACATCGAAATTTCCAGAATGGAATCGAGCAAACCATTCCTTTGTGCGACGTTCACTTACAGCATCCTTACTGTAAACCGTACAAATTTTTCGGCATGTTTTTGCAGCGTTTTTGCCTTTTTTATAGTAATAAAGCATCACATAGCGTATTTCTTCGGAAATTTCACTCATTTTCAATGGAATATAACTTTTGACACGCACGACGAATTGCAAAACTGTCTGCATAAAGAATGTAGCTTGAAATGTCATTTTTCAAACGGCGTATAGTATAACCCGATAAGAATCATACAAACCGAGATTTCGACGCTAGCACCATCTATTGGCAAATTCCGCGGATACTTTCTTTCCAATTCAATATCATTAACACAAATTTTCTAAATAATTCAATAATATATAAATATTAACAAATGATACGAAGTAATTTTAAATATTAACGAATATATAAAAATAAGTATAAAATTAAATGAAAAATAATCGAGATACAGAACCCATGTTCTTTCTTAAAAACACATTTCTAAGAAAGTTAGAAATATTCTTTTTCCTACAATGGACCAGTAAATTCTTGTGGAAAAGGAAAGGTTTCTCTTTTCTACAAAGCAGTTTCTAAGGGCAAAAAAGAAAAATATGTATGCATATATAAAGGGTGTCCGAGATTCTTCCAACCAGTCGATGTCAAATGTATTTTGTTCTCAAAAATAAGAAAATAATATTTTTATAATCATGTAGATCATTTTTAAAGGTTTATTTTTAAAATTTATGACACACATTGTTAATTATATAATTTTTTGTTCAAAATGCCAATCATTTATGCGAATATAAATTTAGGTTTGTTCATAGAGATGAATATAATTGTATTTCACGTAATTGTGAATGTATATTCGAAAAAACTGAGCAAAGCTTAATTCTTCTACTAAGAAATCAATCTTAATACTTTTTTACAGCAACTCGAATATTTCTGTCGTGTAAATCAAACATAATAAATGCTTATTATTTTTTTTTTATTATTTAAAAATATTTTCAGCAGTTTGATCAGTAGAATTCCATGATGGAAAACTTAAAAAAAAAACTGATATCAATTGGAATTAACTTAAATTGCTACAAAAAATAACTCTTTATAAATAAAGATAAATATAATAAAGAAGAAAAAATAAATCTAATCAATTGAAAATAATATAAGAACAATATTCGTCAAGTTAATTTGAACATTAGTTATTAATATCACAATTTTTGTATAAACTTTTAAATAATTTACATTATTATAACATTATCTTCTAATTCTTATATACAAAATACGCTAAAATCGTTGGTTGAGCAAAAAAAAATTTGGATACCTTGTACATTGCATAGATAAATGCGAAGAACGAATTTAGAATCTGGGGCTGCGAGTTCCATAAAGGGGGTTAGTTGACGAACCCTTAAACACAACGAGAAAAGCAGGTATAGGAATAAGGGACCAAGAACCGTTTGAAACTTAGTGACGTAGTAGGTATATGATCAAAGAATGAGTTTGAGAGAGATAGAAATAGAGAAAGGTAAGAAGAAGAAAAAAGGTTCAAAATAGGATAAAAGAAAAGAAATAGAAAAGATGAGAAAAGAAGAAAGGAAGGAAAGGTAGTGGAGAAGATAGAAGAAGAAGAAATACGAGAAAAGAAAAAAGAGAAAAAATGCATTTCGGTGGTAATAGCCATAGTTTGAAAAAGGAAGAGGAGCGGTTATAGAAGAAAAGAATAGAAAATCTAAACAGATGCAGAAAATCGAGGGGTAGGTCAAACCTAAGAATTTCCTTAAAATTTCGTATAGTCTTTTGCTATCCGATAAAAGCTTTGGGTCTCTTTCTGTCTCTCTCTCTCTCTTTCTTTTTCTGTTCATGGTTCGTGAAAATCCCTACAGACTGACGATGGCGAACAAAGAAAAATATTCTCCTTGGGGTGTCAGTCTACATGGTACATACATGTAGACATATATACATACATACATAAACCGGCCTGTTCAGGGCAAGCTGCAACGCTTTGCTACGACGCACCATCGACAATGACCTGCTCGCTTCTACATAAATACAAATATATAGATATATACACACACACACAAAATAAGATTTAACGTAGTTCGTAGAAAAGTTTGCTCTGGTATATTTGTAAAATATATTCGAAATTCAACTAAGACTCAAATATTCGTTTATAATAGAAAAATCAATCGCATAAGATATACCACAATTAAATACACTTATTCTATCAATATAAAGAAATGCGCGTGTGTATTAAATTGTTTTTCAAATTATTGTCAATTTAAAATATAATTATAAGTGTTATTTTCGAATATTTTTTTGAAAGTTGACACTAACTTCTCATAAAATTTATTACAAATATATTAATAAATGCAAGTGCGTGTGCACAGAATCAAATACGTTTCTTCTATCAAAATTGCAAGGAAAGTTCGTGACAACTTGATTATTTTACAAATTATACATACATATACAT